TTGTGTCCATATCAGAAGCAAATTTCTGACTATTCAGTAGACATGGGGAAGGGAAAACTAATGGAAAAAAAAACGACAGGAAATTTAGCCATCTAGCCCCTAAAAAAAATAATAACTAAATCTCAGATTCTTGAAAAACAATACCGTTATTTGTCCATCTAATATTCTGATACTGAAAAATTAAACCATGCAAGAACTGCCTCATGAAAAATGAGGACTCAGCTTCTTGAAGATCAAACTCTTAAGCCTGCTATGTTCAGTATAAACACTATTAATTCAAGTGACAGATATTTACATAAAGGCCTATCTGGCAATATTTTAATAAAAATAAAGTCACTAAATATCACCGTGTGTAAAAAGTTTTGTTATTTAAAATTACTGACTTATTATTGGAAAAGCAAAATTACACAAGCTTGAACTTCAGTCATTCCTTAGCATGAAAGTGGCTGCATCTGGAAAGCAGCTTTGCAGAAAAGGACCTGAGGGGCTTGATATACAAGTTCACTATAAGCCTTTGTAGTAATGAAGGTCAGCAGCATCCCAGGCTGCATAAGGAAATGTGTCTCCAGCATGAAGTCATAGTCACACAGGATTGAGAGCAGTGAAGGGCCACAAGGATGATCCAAGGTACTGGAACACTGTCATATGGGGGAGGCTGAGAAAGATGGGAATGTTTTGCCTGGAAAACAGAAGGCTCAGGATCTTATCAAGATGTATACATACCTGATGAAGCCTCCTGAAGCCTCCTTTAAGAGTAAAGAAAGCAGCCAGACTCCTCTCAGTGATAACCAATGACAGGACAAGAAGAAATTACATCAGCTGAAACACATGGAATTCCAACTAAACATAATTAACCCCCCCACACACATTTTACTGGGAGGATGATCAAACACAAGAACAGGTTGCCCAGAAAGACTGTGGACTGTTCTTCATGATATTCAAAACCCTACTGAACAGAATCCTGGCAACCTTGTCTAGGTAACCCTGCTAGCAGCAGGAGGACTGGACTAAAAAATATCTCTTGAGGTCCCTTCCAATCTCAGTAATTCAGAGATTCTGCACCAAGACTGCTGAAATAAAGTTACATGTTGAAATGTAAGCTGAGTAGTACAATACTGAGAAAAAACACAAACAGAAGATAATGGCTTGTTTCCAGAACTGCATGTAGAAACCAGATGTGATTTATGCCACAAATTAATTCATTAATTTTTCATCTTTGAGATGTTTCCCAGAAATTTTGACCTTACTGAAATCTTTTACAAGGTCTAACACTTAAGAAAATTCATCCCATTACAATTTCTCACTTCATTAAGGTTATGTATCATGCTTGATAAGAATTTCTGCATAATACCAAGAAGCCAAAAACAGTAGGCAAAAATTTCCCCAGAGATTGAGTTGCCAGTTATTATAGAAGAAAACTTTTTTTTTTTTTTTGCTATTTTATCTGAAACTCATTCATAGTATTTCTCATGCAATTAATTTGCAACAATTAATTTTGACCATTAAGCAAACACAATTTCCTGGCATTGATTAATAGAAACTTCACTGCATTGTTTTGTCTGAAGAAAATAGTGTATTTTTATATCGCCTACTTAGTGATTATGTACAACTAATGAAAACAATTATAATCCAATGTTGTTTCATCAATATCATAAATACAGGAGAATTATCTTTATTTATGATTATAATCTAGCTGAAGAATACTAGAAAGTTTTATTAAGGAGTTTTACAATCTTCCTCAATGACTTAGAAAATTGGAAGAGTTATTCAGGTAGTGTTTTACAAATTTTATCCGCGTATAATTTGCGAACTTGAGCTCTGAGCATGTCAGATCAAAAATGGAATCACTGCGTTAAGAGATGGATAGCACATAAAACATGCATATAATTTATACAAGTATGCCCCACTATATCCAACTTTTTTAATAATTCAAGATAGGTAACACTTAAAAGATAGCTTGCTGTATCTTAAGGGACAGATGTCTACCAAAACACATAGAAAACATGCAATTATACCTAATCTTTTTGTCCTAGACAGCTAAGTGCATACTAATACATGGAGGATAATAATCTAATTCCCTCACCCACTCCCTTGCAGCTTGTTTCTTTCACAATCCTGTTGTTGCTGGATTTCAGTGATAATTAACTCCATCTATACCTAACAAAGGCCCTCTACCTTACTGCTATTCAATTGCCCGTAGAGGCCATACATTATACTGCATACCCACCTGGCTTCAACTGCAGCATGCTATGAAAGCAATGAATCTTAGCTATGGACATTTTCCTATGAAACTTTGCAGAGCAATGAAGAAAATTAAAGTTCATTGCCACAAAACAGACATCCTTCTGCAAATTGCTCTTCAATTAAACCAACAATTGTGTGCACTCGGTTATCTATTACAAACACAGTGAAGATAAATTTAACCCTTACTTATGACTGAAAACCTTATTTAACGCTCTATCAGTTTAAAGGGTGGTGACAGAGTCTTATAAACCACACATTTTGTCATTTGCTGAGAATCAGGAGCAGGAACAACTTAGGTTATATTTCTGTTATAATAGTAAACCCCAAGTGATTTGAAAAAACTACTCAAGACATTTGTTCACATATTTAACCTGAATTTTCTTTATACTGGAGAATGGCACCTATCACTCTGTTTGACTACTGAGCAGTTAAAACCAAGATTTGTTTTTTGGAATTAACTCTATTTTTCCCTCTTTTTATTTAGGAGAGGTGGAGAGAACAAATCCAACTAGATTTACTTCAGCCTGGGACAAGGTTTATCAGCTCACACAAATGGACAGAAAATTAAAATGAACAAAAATTAAAAATAAAATCAAAACTGACAAGCAGTCTGGTTCTGCAGAGTGCCATGGTGGATTTGAATACTCTGTGTGAGACTGCCTGTATTATTTCCTTAGAATTCTCATTATGGAGGGAATGATACTTTTTTAATCTACTTGCCAAGATAGAGACTATTGTAATTTCAGCAATGGTAAATATCATCTAACAACATATCCTTGAACCAGATCCCAGAATTTAAAGTCAGCTTCTTCATCTCTATTCATGCATCATAAAAAGAAGTATATACATTAACTCAAATGTGTACTTAAAGTATGAAGGAATGCTCCTGTGGCTGCTTAGTGTGGGGCAATGAGTGTAGTAATACAAAGAAGAGTTTTATAAACATAATACTTTTGCATGAGTAAATTTCACTGTAAGTAGGAAGGGTTGACAGAAAGCTTAGTGCTATTTAAGTCCTACTTATTTAACTCCTCAAATATGAAGACTGAAATGCTACTTACAATCTGTACACACTTAAAATACTGGTAAATGCAATACTTAGAGCATAGGAGCCTGAATTGCAAAATGATACAGTATAGCTCTAAAACTGTTTACTGGAGCAGAAACTCCAATTGGTTTAAAACTGCACAACATATAAAATAAAAATAGATTCACAATACTTGAAAAAAAAAAAAACAACAACAAAAAAACCCCAAACACCAAACCCTACACCAAAAAAACCCCCTACAAACTGAAGCTTACAATAAAATTTGCTAAAATATTGGGGGAGGGGGGTAGAGAGGAGGATCAAACCACTGAACTATCTCTAAGAACTGTATTTCTGATCATCTTAGACAGATTTTCATTTTTTTATACATCAGGCTAATAGGATTCAATCAAAATTCAGATGTAGCAGCATTGAATTGTTTGATTTACAACTGAAATTTCAATTGCTTTTTCCCTTAAAGGCTGTGAAACAGAAAGACTCGTCAAAATGTTCTGCAGATTAGTTCAGGTGATGTGGAAAAGCTGGATGATTTGTAATGAAAATATGACACTGGTATCTAAAAATACTTGATTTTTGGTGTTTACACAGACTTACTGAAGTACTCAGTTAAACATCCTATCTCAGACACATCTGTAAAAGGGCTAACATAGCCTAAACGTATGAGAAATATGTGAACTCTCTTGGGCAGTGACAGTCTGGATCTGCAATAAGATTCAAATAAATAATCCTCATCAGTCTTGTAGTATTTCTATAGATCATTTTGCTGCACTAAATCAAATACCTTTCACAAGATAAAGCAGCAGCAGTATCAAACAAGCAGTAAAGCCAAATATTCCAAGAGAACTTGCTAATGACACTTTCTCCCCTTGTGCTGTCACACAGCAAATTCCTCAGAGTATTTGTTTCCAATCCTCCCAAAATAACTGGATTCAACAGAACAATATTCTATTGAATCCCTTTTCTTAGAGTCTTCTGTGTTAGGCTACCCATTTGCCTTTACACTCTCCAGCTTGATATGAAAACAAGTGTGAAGTATGAACGATAACAAAGAGAAGATACCCATAGTTACACCAGTTTGTATCAAACCATCACATATCTCAAAAGGTGAGGAAGAAAGTTTCTATTGCCTGGCCAAAACTATTATACTGTATGATAAAGTTGGTGCAAATCTAAAAAAATAAAAAGTAAAAATATTAGTGAGATTGCTTTGCAGATGTTTACTGACTTACCTTATCTTGGGAGAAATCTATCAAACCCAGAAGTTGGAAATCTGAACAGATATGTGATACAATGCTCATAGTGTCTGATTATATTCAGAGCTTTTCAGAAGTGTTCTTGTCAGTGTCCTAGGACACTTTTTCCTCTGGCAAATATTCTTCCTCTGTATTACTTATCCTAGTCTTGAATTTTAAAGATTCCACATAGGCACAATGAACATAAACCCAATCATTTTGTAACAGTAGCTATATTTTCAACAAACAAAAGTAGTGTTTCTCTCTATTCATTCTACAGATCCAATGACTATGTTCAATACATTTTATAGATTTTTCCCATTCTCGAGTTATTTGGTAGACCATGCACTGTTATAAAATTCTTTGCACTCAGGTGATAACACCAAGCACTGATTTGATGTAGATGAATGGAGCAATTTAAAGATGTATAATTGCTGCAGGAAAGGAGGGAAAGGAAAATGTACTAGAATACTCACTTTGATGAATCTATGAAGTATATTACAAGAGCACCAATACTAAGAGCGAAGACTAAGACAACCTACAAAAGAAAAAAGAGAGTCATTATTTAATAGTGTTAAAGTGAAACATTTATTCTTTTACACTATAAAAAAAAGAGAAAATATATAATAGACTTTTTTTTTTAATTTCAGCTGTCATTTTCCTTAGAAAGCTACTCCTACTTGAATTTCAAATGCTATATGTTATCATAAAATGCTGTCTTGCATTGAAAAAGAGACACAAACTAGTTTAATCTTAAACCAGGGAAACACAGTATACAATTAGGTCCTAGATCCTGACCTCTTCTAAACTATATTATTTCATTTCAAACAGCAAGCAGTCTTACTACATGGCATTCAAATCAAACCACAGCTTTATCAGACCTATCCTTCAGGACTGCAGTAAATTCCTCCTCATTGGTACATAAACCAAGAGATGATGGATTAGACTGGATTACCATTTACATACATGACTGTGAAATCCAGAAGTGTAAGGCTCTATAAAAATCACATATTTACTCTGCAATCCTGTCCACTGAGACTATAGTTAACTTTCAAACAGGTTAAAACAATGGCTTGATGCAGCATGTCCTGATACAATGAATACATGCCTTGGGCACCTTGTAGTCCCAGCATTTCCACCCACCGAATCCAGTTTTCAAACCAAATAATTTTGTTAGGGCTGGCATCCAACCCTCATTAGCAAGACAGAACTTGCTTTTCTGGCTAGTGCAGCAGAAGCTGGACTAATGACATCTCCGTCTGTCTCTAATTTCTTTTTTCTGAACATAAAGCCAAAACAATCATCTCTTCTACTTGCTCCCAAAGATTTTCCAACACAGTGGGAAGATTTAGTTTCACAACCTATCCAAAGGAGGTCTACATCTACACAGGACAGCATAACTGAAATTTCTGCAATCAGTTTTTGGCTTGAGGAATCATGAAGTACACAACAGTTTCTGTATCCATTGTAACTTAGATTTCTGATATCCTTACTCGAGATTTCTCTCTCTTGAATACTGCCATCCACTGGGTAATTTGTAATCCGAAAACATGAACCCAATAAGCTATTTTTGTGTCTTAGAATGCAATTGTGCTGGAAGAAATCAGAAGAGATCCCTGTCTGCTGCATTGAGGATGGGTAACAGATGGAAAACTGTCTCCTGCAACTCATCTGATCTGCTGGTCCACAGAATCAAAACAAAATGTCCCTTAGTCTTTTGGAAGGCACATCTCAAGTAGCTGCTTATAAGTAATGACCCTTAAAATAAACCCAGAGAACTGATCACTTAAGATTGGGTTAACCAGAGTACTAAGGGGACATGCAGCTCCTCAAACTGCCAGTTAAAACATAAAATTAGATGTTATCGAAACAACGGCATGTGTGAAATAAAGTTGTGGTGCCATTCCAGTTCTGAAATGAGTAGATTTATTAATCTGTATGAACACCATAACTAATGCATACTACCACCACTATTGCTACTTTTCTTGACACTCTCAACTGTTCAAGCAACAGATAAGCAACAAAAAAAAAAAAAAAAAAAAAAAATAAAATAAAATTACTCTCCATTCAATACAGGCTTTAGAGGTTTTTCTGAAGCTGCTGTATTATGAAGGAGCCTGACAGTTATAGTGCAAGGGAATGTTCAATGTGTTAATTTTAAGTAGACTTCCTGAAACAATAATATAGAAGTTTCTCTACTCTCAGCTATCACTCAATGCTGTAATGGCAGTATCTGAAGCAAAGTATAATTATATAACCAAATTCTGGAGCTCTGCACGGCCAAAATCAAACATGCACAGGTTTTTCAATAAAAGAAACTAATTTATTTTTTAACATTATTTTTAATGTAATCACTAGAACTTGTTAAAAAAATCGTATTTGACTGAAAGTTTTAATTAATTTTTCATTCCTTTTAAATCCTGCTGACCATAAGTTTTTGCTTTGTGAAATGTCTGAGAAAGAGTATTTTGCCTGAGTACAAGCATCCATTGTCTTATCTGATCTACTATCATTCAAATAATGACAGTCAGACTGTCAGGACTGAAGCATGAAATTCTTCAAATAACAGTTTTATTACCAAAAGTCTAAAATAATGTTAACATCTAGAGTTTGAATCTTATTTCACTAAACTACAGTATTGATCAGATGTGTACAGGTGGTGCAAGGTGAAAGCTATTAAATCCATATCAACCATTAGGAGACTCACCATCTCATAACAAACTCATGTGGTGAACTAGAACTTGTGAATTATCATCTGGTATTATACTCAAATTGTGATCAGCAGTCATCCCAAGGCCTGTTTTTCTCTGAATTAAGTTACTGGAAATTAAATTGATTGTGCACAGCCCGTCCCATTCACTGCAGTATTCCAAGCCACAAACAACCACAGTTTGAAACTGAATCAAACCCATTCCGCTGCCTAGCTCTAAATGTATTATCAATACATTTCAGTTGTAGTCTTCATATATATTAAAAAAACTAAAATAAAATAAAAAGTTAGACAAGGTGTTGTGGGCTCTGGGAATACAGAGCTTATATTTTTGGTGAAAATTCTGATTTGACCCAAACCAATTTTAAATATGGCTATTCAATCTTGCACAGTTTAAAGTCAAATATTAATGGTCCTTTTTTTACCCTACATTTTGTGGAATCATTTATATACTGAACTGAAGAATGCTGAAATGACCATTTAATGCTGAAAATGAAATTGGAGAAACTAAACTTGTAATCTGTTCGGGACTCTATGACACTCTCACTCTTTCAAATTTTGTGAAGTACACAAGTAAATCTAGACTTTATTTTCTATTTCACATGACAAGGCTAATGTTACAGCACCTAGGAGTCTCCTAGAACAAAACCAGCATGACTGTAAATCAGCTTTGCATTTTAATTATATCCAATCCCTTAATCATCACTGTGCTTGTGCTGCCTAAATAATGTTCCATAGACTTTGGATAAGATCTTCCAAGACACTTAAGGAATTATGATGTTCTATGACAATTCATATAACTATCACTAAAATGCAAATATCTAAATTTTGCAAGAAGCTCCAGATTCCCATGCTACACCAAAGAGTGAGACAAGTATGCAAAACTATACCATATAATATACACTATAATAAATATCTGATTTTAAATCAAGGCTTTATTTCCTCTTCTATTGCCCCAAAACACACATCTAACATCACAAGTCATAACATCTCCAAAAATCACAGAAAGGGTACCAGAAGAGAATAGAATCCTAAACTCAATTTTTATCCTGCTTGCAGAGAAACCTATTTTTCCTTTTCTAAGAGACTGAAGTATTAAGCTGAACCTCAATACATCAAGAGTGTGGAAAAAGCAAGGCCTGAACCAATCAGGTTAGAGTAAAATTTTAAAAATGAAAACTAACACCCTTCCATGCGATATAAACACATTTGATAGAGTCTCAGATTGAAGTTATTTGCTGTATTACCATCTAAAAAAGCTGAATACATCCTGGTTATTCAGATCCAAGGGAACAATCAATTATTCTAGATTGAGATTAAAGTCCTTGCTAAATTGTCATGGGAGTTAACATCTATTTTGTGGAATTGACTGTGCTTGAAGAGATATGGACAAAGTCACAGCAACTAGAATCTAAGAGTTGAAAAAAAAATGTATGGTTGTGAATTGTTGCCTTTTTTGTTAATCAGGCCATGGAGAGAAGCTTGCTTGCTCTGTTTATAATTCCAACGCATTTGGCACAACATTGCAATTGCTACACATCTATTATCATTTCTCTTCTTCTGGAAGGAAAGAATCTTTTAATTCATAATAACTTACTGTTTGTTTAAGATTGAGAAATATGAAGTCATGTGCTAACAGCTACACTGACTAAGCACTTAGTATCAAGTTTAAAATAAACACCAATCTAATTAAAGGGCAGAGGGGGGAAAGCATAGAATAGTTGCTGCATATTCTTAAATCTTTCCAAAAATACCAAAACCCCCACAAAACAAACAAACAAACAAAAACAAAAAAAAACATACCCAGCCACATATTTCAACAAAAGTGTACAATGCTTTTTTGAGGTAGGAGTCAGAGAAATTGCATATAAAATCTACTTAAAGAAAACTGTAAAAAAGTTTTGCTCTCCACTGTTGGCAGGATGCTCCAGATGAGCTTTGACTGCTCTGTTGCAGTCAAACTGCAGTCAAACTTTATGCATCCATATTAAGGACAGAAAAAAAGGAGGGGGAAAGGAAGAATCAAAAAAATTAAAAAATACAGGGAAAGTACAGGCATTGAGAAAATACTCTCAAAAATAAGCCACCCTAACCGAAAGCGGATGAGACCACCTCCCGGGATCGAGCCTATGCAGTCAAACGCTGCCCGTGACAGACCAAGAGGTGGCGCTATTTCCCCTAGCACAGCACGGAGGTGCTGTCCGGCCGGGGCTTAGAATGCCCGGTGCGGGATAAGGCCGCTCCCGTCACAGAGGTGAGCTACAGTTAATACGCCCTTAACGAGTAATGCGAGGACTCTAGAGCAGGAACTTTAGTCTCTGGTTATTCTGTAACGTCTGAACGAAGGAGAACTCGCTTTAGTTTCAAAGGCAAATTCTTGAAAAACTGAACTATCTAAACATCATTAATACAAAGTAGCACAGATCTCAAGAGGTAAAGCCAGAAATAAAAAATTAATAAGTGTCTATTGTTATTTTTCTCTCAACATTAATTATTAAAATAAAAAGTACACAATGAAAAGAAAAACCTTCCAGGAATTCCATAACCCCTAACACTTCACAGCACCAGGGAATCCTTACTCTGTTATCTGATGACAATCTGTTGTTATGTACCACTCTTCAGAAATGTGTGACTGAAACTCTAATTATTCTCAGTTTAAATTTTTCAGCCCTAGGGCTACAGTACTTAGACTGTATTAAGTTGTTCATTATTAACATTTGCAGAATTTAATTTTAATTTCTACATCCATGCAGCAAATTTTGTTAATGACCTACTCAGGTTTTTCATGTGATGCTTTAAAATAAAGCTCTATTAACTTTTATATTTCA